TAACTGGGTGAAAAAATCCTCCTTCTTGACCATAGATTTAGCATTGGTTATAAAAAAAAGAGTTGAGCAAATCACTCAACCAAGAACAGGAGTACTGGCAAATCTTGTACAGTATCTCATCTCTCCTTTTTGTGAGTCAGAAGACAAATTCCTCTCTATTTTGTAATTCCAAGTTATGCTTCAAGATGAAAACCACACTCCCAGCCCCTCCTGAAGACCAGAAGAAACACCAAAGAGTGGGCCAAATTAAATGCAAAGCCAATTCTGTGCAGCAAGCACAGGTCAGCCTGGCCTCGCTTCAACCTCGCAGTTATTGATCACAACAGGGCAGAGATCAGGAGTCCTGTAATCCCAAATGCTCATTTATAGCTCTGGCTATCCTCTCACCTGTTCCATAAGCAGTTCTGTGAACATCTGCCTTCTCAGATGACATTTTTTCCACAGTGCTCACACCCAACCTGCAGTGCTGCACTGAGGCAGGGAAGCTTTAGTTCTGCCTTCCTATTTGTATCACTACCTCGCTATTACCCTACTCTCCCTTCTCTTCAGGAGTATGACTGGTGAAACTGGGCAGGATTCTCAACAATGTGTAAATTCTAGGGTAGAGTCACTGTGCTAAGGAGTAAATAAAGGGCTGATAGTGTTTCAGACGTAAAATGTCTTAGTGAGTTGTGTTCCTACAAGCCTGTGAGGGCTGTGTTGGTCTGCCCTCAAATCCATGTGCCTGATATCACACAGGTCTGCTGTAGCTGGAAATTAGTAGGCTGTTGCTGACACTTGAGCTTACCTGAACAATAACCTTATACCAAGTTCATGATTTTCCTGACGCGTTCCATTACAACTGAGAACCAACCAAAAAACCTCAGCATTAGCTGTTAACTGACCACAGGACACAAGGCCAGCTCCAGGTCCATGTAATATGGTCACTGTGTATCACAGAAGCCCTTATACCATCTAATGGCCTCACTCAATGTCTGGATGCCTTTCAAATGAGATGTTCCAGTATGTTTACACACAATTTTGGGTTTGCAACTAGTATTTTGGAAGTGGACACCAAAACCCTCCAAATGAAACTGTGGGAAATGATACAGTTTGAAGAAGTATATCCTATATTTAATTGGGAGAGAGCTGTGTTTACAGCCTGTTATTGTCTGTGCTGGTTGGCTTTCCCCCAGCAAACACCAGAATGAGCAAGTCGTGGCAGTTCTGGGCAACTTGGCAACTGCAGTTTAGTTTTACAAAGCCTGAGCTGAGGAGCTTTCTGCTGACAGGCAGTATCTCTCTCTAGAAGTGAAGTGTTCTGATCCAGTTAAAATATCATCTATCAGTGAAGGACGCTCTCCATTTAAAGTCTTTGAAAGTTAAAATTCCTTTAATGGACTTGGAATTACAGTATCTTTTTGCGGAGCGTAAAATAATGATTTGTATATTGAAACGTAGCTCCTGTGGATAAATGACATACCACTGATACATGAATATGAGCACTTTCTGCAGTGTTTTTCTGTTTACATCATTTTGGGGCAAAACAATACCAGTGAGATGATCTGTTTGGATATTAAAAATATATCTAGAATACTGATTTTTTCTTTGTCCACCAAAAGTTATATTTCAGCTATCAAAGCCCCCAAAAAGAAAACTACAAAACACTTTGTTTACTAGCTTATAAAAGTCATTTTTTGGTGATGAATTTTGAGGAAATAAAGACCTCAACTACTTTTTCCTTGCTCAACATTTACATTGAATGTACAACACAGAAATGTGAGGACCATTATTTCCATGGAAGCAGAGTGTTGGCAGGGGAGAATACCTGCTTTAGGAAAAATACCTTCCCCTTCTCCTATCAGACAGACCAATTCAGATGTTGAGGTGATTTGAGAAGATGAAGATCCCAAAGAAGAAGTTATTGTGTGTGCTTTCCTCCTAGATCTGTTTGCTCCCCCATAGGTAAGACCTTCATGAGTAAACATTTCCCTCATAAACCCTTTCAAATTCTTTTTGAATGAGCTTTTGTGTCAGCTCCCCTGTGTTATTATGAAAGGATTAGTGAACATTATCAAAACAGAACATAATAAATTAATGCTTGGCAGCTCAAGTCACCTAAGGGATACTAAAGACCTGTCCTAAGTTGCAGTAGGCACACTGCAGTGTTCAGTGTATGGGGACAATAGCTTGACTTAATGTTTAGAGAGTAAGCCTGGAAGTTAGGGCTTAGCTGAAGGTTCCTGCCTCTGTTGGCAGAATCCAGAAATTAAAACAGGTTCTGTTCATGACTGAATAATTCTTATTATTGGACAGAAAGTACATAAAATATTTAGCAGTTTGAAGCATAGGTCCTGTAATAGATGTTTTTCTTCAGGGAGCATAAGGAAAACTGCTTTTGGTGTTACTACATTGCACTGTGGATTGAGATATTCAGGTTTTGTCCCTAGTTCAGCCCCGCTGGGACATTCAGGCTGTTTCTGCCCTGGTATCTCTCATGGAAAATGTTTACATCCCTTCTCTTAGCCCTGTCTGGTGTCTGCTGGCTGTTAGAAGACAAGCTCTCAGGCCAGAGGGTGATTCTGATGCCTCTCCTTAGGGTACAGGCTCTGGCTTCCCACGGCACTGTGAGGCAGATGCTGTAAATAACCCCCTGCATCTGTGCCCTCTGCAGGGCAAGGCTGGGGATCAGCTCCACACTGACTGTGCTCGTGTTCAGAGTGTGACAGACATCCAAGGACATGTTCCAGCCCAACCTGGACCTGGGTTGTTCTGAAGAGGAGGGGATGAAGAATATCTACAATGGAGGCTCACAGCAAGTAGGCAGGAGGGTTAGCTTGATTTGGCTGATGTTCACACAGTAGTGCCTTGGGAGGGATTTAAAGCATCTTCTAGAAGCCGCACCTCCTTATTTCAGGATTTTTTTGATGGAAAGAAGGCTTTGCCAAACCCTCACATCTCTGTAGTCCCCAGTTACTGGCATTGCTTTCCTCTGGGGACAGTCACTGTCTTGGTTAGGACTCGGCACCGAACACACCTCATTTCTGATGCACCCTCAGCAATGCTCAGCGTCTGCCTTCCAAACAGAGTCAGGACAAAGTTCCTCAGTATTGCTCTTCCAGATCTTATCTGCGTGAAGCTGCCTTTGAGACGTTCTGCAGTGGCCAGACAGTGAGCCACCAGCAGCACTTTTCCTCCTAATCACAACGAGCTCCCTGATAACACGTTCTTTTCCTGTAGTTTCTTGTTGCACACTCGGGACTGTGAGCTCCTCACAACACGTGCACACAGTGCTGCACACAATGGGATCCCAGTGACTCAGTAGGGTTGCACTTCAATTACAATGGAAATAATAATGTTAATTTATTTTCTTGATGCTTTTGACTAGGATTTGCTGAAAAATAAAGGAAATATAGGCTATGGATCATGTTACCATAAAACCACATGCAGCGAAACATTCATCTGTCTCCAGCATTTCATGTCTTCTGGGCATCCGAGAGAGTCGAGTTTGATTTACACAATCAAGCTATTCATTAAATATCTGTTTGAGTTTTAGGCAGATGCATCCTTTACCTGAGTGATGAAATCTGACTACAGGAAATGGAGCTGTTCCTTTGTGAAAAGACCCCATTCTGCTTTATAAAGTGAGCCTTGCAGCAATATACTTCTAGAAAACTGCCAAGCTTTGTATACCAAATACTGTTGTAAGGGCTCAGCAATAAAACAGTTGTGGACTTGGGGGTGATCCAAGCACACAATAGCACATCTTTATGCAATATTTCCTCTTTCAACATCCCTCTCCAACACTGTAATTCACTGACAACCGTCGGTTCATTTTAATTCCAAAATTCTAGCCCAGAACACTAAGCAGTTTATAGAGTCTGAATTCTTGTGTGGGCATATTAATTATTTAAATCACTAGTCTAAATCCTGTTCCAAAGAGCTCTTGCTGGGAGTCCTTCAGGAGCAGACTGATCTATTGCTTATTATCGCCTACTGGGTCATACTGCGAGTCAGAGGCATGTTCAGTATTTCCTATCAACAACCCTCTGTATAGCTGGCTGTTGTGAGGGCACTGAGTGATTGTGAATGAAGGGAAAGGCAGCAAACATATGTTAGAGGATATATATAAAATGATCCAGTGAATTGATATAGCCCCTATTAGGGATTGGCTTGGAAACTTCTCAGACGAGTCATTTTTAGAAAAATAAAGTATCCCCAGGCAGATGGGAGAGGCTGTAAAACCCAACGCTGTGTTGAGTGAGGCTCCTTATCTTGCAAAGCCCCTTGCAGATAAACACACACAGGGAAGAATCCTGCTGGTGCAGGGGTACACACAACTTTCCACTGCCTTTGGTGAGAGGAGCAATGGGTCAGGTCTGTCTTGCACAGAGAGGGGCAGCTGTATTTTTGTGTATTTTAGCTTTTGTGTTGTTATGAAAACAAACCCATGAAGTTTTGTCCATTTTGCCTTTTTGGACCTGAAATGGGCACATTTCAGCTGTTTCAGTGGCAGGGCAGGCGTTCAAATGAGAGACACCTTCTGCTCTTAAAAAGCAACTCCAACATATTCACTGCCTGAATAACGAGCCGTGCATTCCTCACCAGCCAGGATAATGGGACCTTCAAAAGCAGAGAAGTTTCACATGACCTTAGTACATACGCCTGACTTTGAGTGCCTGAAAGGAGTGACCTCCGTCCCATTCATCATCATGGCTTGTTAACACTCAGATCCACTGTTCTGTGGGTTCCCCCCAAAATTAACCCACCCCAGACCTGAATGGCAGGGCCATGGCTGGGCAGGGAGGTCACACTGAGCCACAGTGCCTAAATGGCCACTCCCCAGAGGGCAGACTTTTCTTGTGGGCAGCTCTGCCCCTCCACAGAACGAGCTCAGAGTCACAGACCTTTGCCAATTACACAGCAGGAGATAACAGGATAATGTTCTCCTTAAACCCACTACGGGACAGTCAACACAGATGCAAGGGAAGGCATACAGCACTTATATTACTTGATATTAATTATAACCTCCATATTTTATTCATGAATTTTACAATTCCAAATATAATGAAACAGTTAGAGTATTTTATTACAAAGCTTATAAAATAATTAAATATTACACTTATAGTTTTTTGCTTTTTTTACACCATAATTCATACTTTGTGACACTACCATTTTCTTTCCTCAGTTGTCACTTAAGGAAGTGAGCAAAGAAATATAAAGGAAAAGCTATGCATTAATAAATTAATTATTTTACATAAAATAATAAAAAGGACACAATTATAAAAAAAACAAAACAAAAACAACCTTGTAGTTTTCCTAGAAAAAAAAGTTATAATTACACAATGTCCAATATCAAGACAGAGCGGTGTAGGTTGAGATATGTTTCCAATCATCATTTCTTAGAGTATCACAGAATACATGTTTTTAATTTAAATTGTTGCAGAGGGAACTGCTAATTTTAAGTGACCACTGTCTGGCATTAGTGCTGAGCTGGCTAATTTTATGCTGAAACCATACTTTAAAAAAAACCAGTCAAACTGAACTACATTCATCAAACAAAGTTGTGGGATTGGGTGGAATTAGATAAATACGTCCCTCATAGGCACTCCCCAGAAAATTACAGTAGGACACAGCTCTGTCTCAGATGGGTTTGGCAAACAGGTTGGGGATTTTTTCAATGCAGAAACCTTTTGAACTGCACCATTTGATCGTGTCACCGAGCACCTCGATACTGAACGGTTACAAATATCATTATGTTTACAATTCTTTTGTTTGCTGGTGGATTCTGAACTAAATACAAGTATTAGGAGAGTGTATAAAAATAGAATTGACTTTTATTTGGTTTGAGTAAATAATCCACTTATCTTTTTCAAGCGCTTTTTCCGCATAACCTGTGTGAATAAATAACTGTTCAGAGAAGTTCAGCATGAATTAATGGACTGTAATAGTCTTGTTATTTCCTTTGGGTAATGAATGAATCAAAATTTGCAGAGATTTGAGATTAAAAGGAAGACATTCTTCAGTATCTTGGCATTCAAACAATCTAGCTTCTGAAACAAAACTACTTTAAAATATCAAGTTTAAATTTTAAAATTACATATCTAATGAGCTTAGAAAGTTGAAAACGTAACCATTGAGCTCAATAAATCTGAGTTCCTTGAGTTAGTTGAAACATGAAATCCTTATTAATTGTTACACAGCAATATTAAAAGTCCAAATATTCTAACGCTGAGTATTTCTAGGAATACATTTTCAAGTTACTAGTTAACCACCTCTGAGTTTCTACACAAAGCAGAAAATGAATTCTTCAAAATAATAAGAACATTAGCATGATGCAAAACTTGCTTTTCCAGCAGCAAGTCTGATAGAGAAGCACCATAAATCTTTGTAGTGCACTATTTACTTCTGGTGGTCACACGTGTGACACTGTGTTCTCCAGCCAACAGCCATTGGAATGTCCCTCTGTGGCAGCAAACAGCTTCCTCACCCTGGGACAACGGTATCATACAAAAATTGAGAGGAAACGCTTTTGACAGTGTGCTCTGTCCTGCTGCCACTCCGCAGCCTTTCTCCTCCAGCTCCCCATCTCTTTTTTGCTTTGCATTCTGGTAAATTAGCCAGAAAAGGCTTCCTTGCCTTAATTTCTTCCTCGTAACATGTGACAGTGCAAAATTACACTTTTTAAAGAAAGAAGAACTTCCCCTCGAGTCTCAGTGTTCAAGTGATCCATAGTACCCTGTGCTTTAGTGAGGTCAGCAAATAAAGAAAAAAAAGAAACATTCCTTTTTCAACACATATCCAGCAATTACTGTACCTCAGACATTCCCTTAGAAAAAAACCAAGTCTCTTCCGTCAGTGGTTTATGTGGCACCATGTCTTGCCTCAAAGTAGAGATAATTCCAACATAAATTGAAGAAGAGAATCCTGTCACTGAAGGGTTCAGATAACTCGCTGCTATCAGTTCTTCTTCGTGCATGATTTACAACACTGCTTGCCATAAAATTTGTGGTTACAGACACCATGCTGGGGCACCAGATGACACCAAGTGAAGAAATCCACACAAGAAGGATCATCTGAAGGAAAGAAATCCAAGCAATATGGTAAGACTGTGTTTTTAGCAAGTCTGCAAGTCAGGCAATATTTCCAAACATTTGTATGCAATTGTAAATATTAAAAACATGGTGGGTGACTCAATTCCAAGAAGAGGAAACATGAGCGAGCTTTCATCTCAAAAATACTAGTTTCTTTTTTTAATTTCTTAAGAGATCAAATTTACTAATTTATAGAGATAGAGCTAATATCACAGGAGAGTCAGAGGCTGAATTAAAAAATTTAGAGCACACTCTGAAGTTCAGGAAAACAGAAGGAAGTTCCACATTAGAGGATAGAAAAACTTATCTGTGTTTACACCTCTGATTACAAATGTTGTTCTAAAGCCAGGCACTTGCACATATGAGCCTGCTGTACACTTGATGCCAACTGCTTCTTGCCACCACCGTCACACGGAGTTTACCTGCACCTCAAAGTAGTGTCAGCTCCGAGTGTGAGTGGGTGTCCACACAAACACATGGAAATGGGAATGCCTGGGCCCTGCTCTGAGCACACATGGGCACAGAGTGCTCTGCTCCCTGTCTGTGTCCCAGCACTTTCTAGAGGCACTTCTTTCTGTCCGTTCCACTCTGCAGGGAACCTCAGAAATCTCTTCCTCAGACACTTCAGTTATGTGCCATGAATCAGGCTTTTAGGACTGTGCCCTGTTGGTGAAATCTTAATTAAGTGCAATGAGAAAAGAGACAGTGTTTAGTTCTGAAAAGCCTTTAATTACAAATACAGGTAAATCGTATTTTTCAATTAAGATCATATTTCTCTTCAATTTCTCTGCAGATCATTTATACACACTGCTCTGCTGCTTTAAAAACATTTCGTAGCTGCTCCTCTCTCCAGTTTTGTAGAGGATGCTTTATGTTTCTTTAAATGAGCAGAGTGATGATTCATATGGATGATTTATAAACAAATTCACTGTGTCTGAGACAGCAATAGGACTCAATGAGCTTCAGCAAAATTTATAGCTAAACTGAAATCTCCTGTGAGCATGGAAAAGATTTCATTCAGCTCTAAGAACTACTGTTTACATGGTCAATAAAAGGAATTTACAAGGAGACTGAAATAAAATCTAGCCACCACTGTCTGTATTCTCAGATCAGCTAAGCTGAGTCACAGCAGATAAATGCTCCCTCACATGGCACAGACAACTTCTTCATGTTCCCTGGACCAGGAATCATCTCCATCTCTCTATAGGAACTTCTTTGGATTCATCACCACTACTTTTTTTTAATTCCCTTTTACATCATGGCAAAGGTGATTTTTTTTTGGTATGCCTTTATCACTCTCAAATTTGAATTAATAGGAAAATTATTTCTTTTCTTTTTTTTTTAAATATGCCATTTTTTCTCAGCTTTTAAAAACTTAAGCCTGTCTGTAAATTCTAATGGTAGGGAAAGAAAACACTGTTCTTGAACAAACACTTGTCCAGGAAGTGGGGAGCTCAGTACTGAACTGCAGCCTTCCCACTCCACAGCACTGCCTTTCCATTCTGCATGGAGTGTCAGGAGGGATGCAGCTGGAGTTCAGCACCAACCTTCCTGTTCCTTCCCCTGCTGTCACCAGACAGAATCTGGGAGGAACCAAAACAGACAAGAGATGAAAAGCACACACCATACAGAGGAAGGAAAGCTGTTCTAAGTAAGACAGAAGAAGCTCTCCTGCCATGAAAGGGTAAATTTTTTAAAAATTACAAATTACTCTTTAAAAAAAAAAAGTATGAGGAGGAAGCAACATTAATAAATCTTTATTCCCACTTTGAAGATCAGAGGGCAGTGTTAATATTACAGAGGTATGGCTGAAAGCTTTACACTTGGGACCTAATCCAAGGACTGTTGGAAGGAACACAAAGAGTCCCACAAAAATCAGTGGATGGGGATCAGGCTGTCAGTCCCTTATTTCTATTTACCCAAGTATTTATATGTTGTTCAGATTTTCATTCATTTAAGCAGTTGGATTTAGTAGGAGTCACAGTGACCCTAATTGCATTTAGCAGAGGGGTGGAAATGACCTGGTTTGTCCAGGAAAGTGCAAACTCTCCCTGAAACATTAATTTCTTGCCTGTGATCACTGAGCTGGAGCTGCATGGCTGATAATAGAGACTGATTTGCTTCAATGTGATTCCAGCACAGCTGGTTTCCTCTCTTTCTGCTGGTTTAGACAGAAAGTTAGAGAGCAGTGAGGAGATAATTGATCTCTAGAGCCTGACGACCCAGGTATAATAAAGGGGAAAGGGCTCCTGCAGATGTGAGGAGAGAGAGAAACAGGCCAAGGCCAAAATTAATAACAGACAGTACTTCAAACATGAAATATAGCAGGGGAAAACAGGGGTGAAAGAAAAGTCCTTGCTATGTAACAGAAAAGGGAGTTATACAGGAACTCCAAAGTACAGCAGAACCTTTTAGGAAGGTTAATTTGAAGTGTTACGAACATTTACTGATAAAAACAGCAGAAGTATTTCTTATCCCTTTTAGGACCATTTCATCTCTATAGCCCTGTTTGGATTAAGGTCCCCTGATAGATCAGCTTGATACTCTGCATGTCCTGAGCTGATGCAGTAGAATGGTTAGGATCTCCCTGGGTTTCACAGGGTTTCTGTGCACAGGGAATGCCAGGAATTGGGGCAGACATTGGGGGTGGTTGGCTAATGTCAGTTTACAAGATGCAGGGCCAGAGCTTGACCTCTGCTCCCAACTCCATTACCACCTTCCTCTTGCAATCCAGCTTGGGTTTTATAGAGGTTACTTTTAGCTCCCAGTTTTAAAATGGTAACAAGTCAATTAATGTGCAGTATTTTGAAAGCTAATGTTTAAAGTGCTTTAGCATACCTAGATAACCAGTGTTATGTGGGACAAACCTGGACCTCCATGAGTTTTTTCACATAGTTAGGAAGGAGTCATGAACAGTGACCATCCTGCAACCAAATAAATGGGACAGGGTAATGCATCACTCTCTGTCTGTGATGGTGCTGAGAGAATTCCTCTTCCATCATTCCCTGCTCCTCACATTGAAGAGGCAGAGAGGGATACAGTAGACATACAACTGGGGAGAGAGCTTAATTTCATGTTCCCTGACTGGCACGTCTCAAGGACATTCTAGACAAAACATTTGTGGAGTCCCGGGATCTGGGTGCAATCTGAAGCTTGGTCTGACTTCAAAAGACTAAAAGTAAATGGCAAATTCTTATTGCTTAGCTCCAGAGTTGCTATTATTAATCACAAAGCAGTACCAGCATAGGATGCTTCTGTTATTCAACAAGAGAGTATAAAAGTGCAGCTCAGAACCAAACAGCATAACTATTTCACATACTGTTTTTAAAATCTCCTGTGTCAGTCATACTCTTAAGTTTGCTTTAAGAGGGCTCACTTTGAGAAGAGAGATGCTGTAGTATCAGACAGTTACTGTCAATCTGGAAGCCTGGGAAAAAATCATTTATGAAGGAACATGCCAAATCAGTGAGTGAAACGAAAAGGTGGGCTTTGCTGGCTATAGAATTCTAAGGAAACAACTCTGCTGCAGCACGTAGAGCCGAGTTTTACCTCTTTTCATGGGGACTGGGCAGAAGTTGGTGTTGCAAGCTCTCAGGACAGCTGGTTTCTGGTGGGGCAGGCACCCAGACGCTGGTCTCCCCTGGCGCAGGCACTGCACACTCCGGGTCTGCACTCCCCCTCCACAGGTCACCGTGCACTGAGGAGAAATGGAAAAGCTGTCTTTCACTGCAGAGACTCTGGAAGCCCATGAAAGCCAAAGTGGGGAGTTTCAAGGGCTTTGGATGAGACTTTCAAAGCAAGAAAGGTCAGGATCGGATGTGTCGCTGTTCAGTAACCCCCACCAGGACCAACTTTTCAGAGACGTGTGTGTCTTTTGGTTATTTAAGGACTCAGCTGAAGATCTGGTTCCTTACTTAGGCATTGAGACAGAAACTGAACATTTTAGAAAACCTATTCCTGACTGCCTGCCCTGATTTCTTTTGATCTCTGGGCCCAATCCTGCTGCCTTAACAGAGATAAAACTCCCATTGGAACAATAATCATGGCAGTATCTGGGGAAAACCACTATGCATTTGCAGGAAGAGCTATGAAGTATTTTAACATTAATAAGCCTTTTACTTGTATGTGTTTCATGAAGAGTTGTCTTTAAGATAAATGTGATCATTTTCATCTGATTGCAATTGTCAGGCATACATTGTTTCATGTAAATATTATTAAATGAGTGTGTGTCTCTTTGATATATGACTCACGAAGTAGATAAGTTCCAGAAATACAGAAGCTTGTTTGCAAGAATGTAGAAACAAATACAGACTGATCCCACAATTAATCATAGCATTTAGGGAATTCCAGGCAATCTGTGCAGATGCTCAAATACATTGTGCACAGAGATATGCAGCAGTTCAACCACAGTGCACTTTGAAGATGGAGAAGAAAGTGTTGGAAAATGAGTGTGGAATGTAATGCCTCTCAAGCACGAATAACATTTTTAGGTGACATTCTTCAGTTTCAGGAGAAAGAAATGAGCTGCACCAAAGTACATGATGGATGTGGACCAGCTGCATCATGTTTCAGTGGCTGAGTGGTGTGGTCTTCTTTAGGGAATGGCTACGTGCAGGAGACACCTGGGAACTGTTAGTACTGGGGATGGCTCCAATGTACCACTGGACTTTTGACTCCAGCAGAATGTAAGGCTGGAGCTGGCTTTAATCTGGGCAGCCTGGGCTCACCCTGCCGTGGTCACAGTGGCGCGGCTGTCAGCATTTTACAGCCACCAGCTGTTTGTGCCACTCCAGCCAGTGTGCCTTCTGTGGGATATGATGGAGTGTGGTGCTCTCCAAACCCAGTACGGACACCTCACCTGCATTCCAGGGAATGCACTGCCCAGGAGGCAGCAGTCACACTGCAGTTGTGTTGTTCTGCAGAGCTGTGCAGGGAAGAGCACCAGGGGATGTGACTTGAGCTACTGTACAGAGAAACTTGGTCCTTCTGCAAATTCCTTAGAGCCAAGACATGAAATAGTGCTGAAAGAGCAATAGCCAGGACAGGGAGAGAGGTGAGAGAGCTTTCCATTCCTACCTGCTGCCAGGGTGAGGAATACCAGCCAGACACCATGTTATACAATGTCTGTGATGGACAGGCTCCCTTGTTACAAGGTTCCTCCAGCTTGGTGTTTGGTTTCTTGAGGTTTCTGCATCTCCTCTGAGGGAAGGTGAGCAGTTTCCCGTGGATGCTCTTCTCACCACATTTGAGTTCTCGCCTTTGCACACCTGGGCCACAGGAGGCTGAGCACTGCAGAGGCAAAACACACCTCTTACATCTACAGAAACACGGTCAGATAAAGGGGAGTGTGCAAGAGAACCCAAAGTGTGCATTATAAAAGCATTGTAGAACTAAACCCCACAAAGACCATGCTTGATAATGTGAAAACTGAAATACGAATCCAAGTCAGTGAAAGTCCTGGATAACGAAGACAGCAGGGTACATCTAACTACATCTGTGGTTTGTGGAGGCTTGCCTAGAACACCTGATTTTCAAATGACAGCTCGGCTTTCTGTCCTCCCCATGGCTTGTGTGTGTCCCTGAGTCAGCATTTCCTAGAGCAGAAAGGCAGGCAGTGAGCCATGTAACTGCAGCACTTTACCTCACTCCAGGAAGAAATCACCCACTGGAGCCGGTCATTTTTGGGACAGCGTCCTAGCACACAGGTCTGCTGGGATTCGGGTCTGTGGTCTCTGCTGCACATACTTTCAGGCAAGATTTTCACCTTGGGAGAACCAGTACTTTTGCAGTAGACATCCCGTTTCTTAAGACCCCTCCCACAAGTCTTGGAGCACTGTGATGGAAAGAAACACCCATTTGAAGCAGAGGAAATGAAAATTGGCATTATTTGTATTTTACAGCAGAATGTAGAAGTCATGGCTAACATGCTGTGTAGCTGCTATTGTATATAAGCAAACTTGAAATTCTGCTGGTACATAAGTAACAGTAACATCTGTATGTCACTTCTACAATGTTGCTCTAAGTGCTCTCTTAATGTAAGCTGTGAACTCTCACAGCCCCCATATAGAAGAGATATGAGTAATATCTCTTTTCCGTAGATGAGGTAAGTTGGACTTGTGAGCAAAATGCTTTTGTGAGCAAAGTGCTTCCTCCCTGCTCAGCACAGCTGAAAGCTGGTCCTAACCTCCCATGGCAGAACCTCCCATGGCAAGATGCTCAGCTATTTGTTATTTTGTCCTCACCTTGGCCTAGAGGGATGAGATAGAGGCAGAGAAAACCACCCAGGGAATTGATACATAACTCCTTCACCGAGCAGATCTCACCACAGGACAGAATCTGATACAGACAGTGGTTAAGGAGTTACACCAAAGATGTTTTAATTGCCAACTGCAGCTTAGGACAAGTCACCAGTGAATAAATAAGCATTGCTGAAGCGTAGCTCAGTGGAACAGGCATTCTGCAGCTTTCACTGCCTTAGTATACGACAAAATGCCTGAACGAGCCATTTCTGATGAAATGAAGGAATAAACACTGTCAGCTTCCTACTTTCTTGCATCCTCTTCTAATTGTTCTTCTTTCTACTAATAATTATGGGGCATGTTCCAAGGCAGAATCACTACTTGTATCAAATTACAAGTGCTTTTAAAAGATTTCATGAAAGCACAGTTGTGTTGAGGATGTAACAGAAATACCTGCATGTTGAAAATCTGTGGTTTTAATCCTTCGCCAAACAAACAAAAAAGTTCTTTTCATTTAAAATGACTCTGATTTGTGTAGAGAGGCTGGGTTTAGATTAGATATTAGGAAGAAATCCTTCCCTGTGAGGGTAGGGAGGCCCTGGCACAGGTTGCCAAAAGAAGCTGTGGCTGCCCCATCCCTGGAAGTGTCCAAGGCCAGGTTGGATGGGGCTTGGAGCAACCTGGGCTAGTGGAAGGTGTCCCTGCCCATGGCAGGGGGTGGAATGAGATGAGCTTTAAGGTCCCTTCCAGCTCAAACATTTTGTGATTCTATGATTTTGCCTTTTTCCTCTTAACTCCTTTGAACTTGTGATCTAACAGTTTTCAGCCAAATCTTAAAATCTTTACTAACTTGTTCAATAGGCCTGTTAAACTACATTTCAGCAGGACTTGTAAACTTAAAATCTCTACACCTCTTAAAGAAGAGGAAAATGGATTTTTCTTAATTGTCATTTTTTTATTTTAGAGGAGTAAAGTCTGAATGTGGGAATGTGTTTGAAGATCTGGTTTTTACAATCTCCTGCTGCACTCAGGTTTCCTTCAGATACACTGTAAGAAACTCATTTTGGATTGTTAAAACTCTGTTTCAATGGACTACTGAGTGGTTACTGGACTGTCACATTCCAGGGCACTGCCCTGGAGAGGCAGTCTGTGCTTCTCAGCTGGGAATGCTGAGGTCAAGGTGTTCTTGAACGCCTGAAGAGTAACAGTGCCAAGAACAGAAAACATAAGGAATACATTTTTCAATAAATTTAAATCCATCTCGAATCCTATTGATATAAGTGTACTGCCAGCTCTCCTTTAAATCCCAGATTTCTCATTACTTTGCTTATCCTTACATTAACCATTCACAATAGCACCAACAGCAGTGAAAGATGGAGCAGAGCTGAGGTTTTTGTGAGCATCTGTGTGTTTTTTAGCTTAGGTGGTTCAATGTCGGGGACCTCTCAGGTGTGTAAAGCAGGGTGTGTACACACAGAATCTGCCCATGGGCCTCATGCCCCTCATGGCAGTATCTGCAGCACTGCTGGCAGTAGAGTAGCTGCTCTAACAGTGGCAAAAGTACAGAAGTCATTAGTGAACGTGTAAATCACAAATTTATCAACCCACAATCCATATACATGTGTGTAACTCTAAGCCCAAATACTTCTTCATTCCTTGACTGCCTGTCACCTCTGAGAGAACTTAATATTGCTTGGGAAGTAATCTCAGAGGGGGTTAATGGCTTGAAGAATTCATAGAGCCGTAAGTTATGAAATCAGAAAGAATTATCTATCCATTTATGTGCACCACCTAAAAGAACACCACCTGTCTGCTCCTGGCAAGCCCTCCTGTCTGAGCACTGCTGAAGGCTGGTTACAAAGCATATATAGTTTACATGTTTATACACACATGGTTTACATATTCTCTTCATGAATGAAGCCACTTGCAAAACACTGAACTCCACAGAGTTTGCACTATTTTTCTTTTTGAGGAGAGTTTTTTGCAATGTTTTCATTATGCCAGCAGACCAAGATTTCTCCAAATTACCTGAGACCATGGGCCAGGGCTCCATTCTGGTGGGCAGTCCTGACTATTGCACATCTGCACCTGTGGGGGGGTGCTGACAGGACACAGGGAATGGGCCACGACCTCCTCTCTTTGGAAAGCCCTTTTCTGGACACACTGAATGAGGCGACTTTGCTGCCCTCCTCCACAAGACTTGCTGCATGTGCTCCACTCACCTGCTGACCAGCTTAGAGGAGGAAAGGCATGTTAGAAACACGGGAGTGCAATTAGCTTTATAAAATCAATACACATGAGCCACCTATCAAATGTGAATTATTTCGGGACCCTGCTCAGCCAATCTCCTGATGGACTGATATCTGCTCAAGCAATCAGAGAGCTGTAGTTACATTATCTACCTTCAAAGCATGGAACATTTTGCTAGGGATAAAATATAAGTCACACAACTAGAAAAACAAGTACTGCTTATTTACAGTTCTCATCTACTAGAACCAGCTTGCCTATCAATCTGACTTGGAATCTGCAATTCCACGGGGACTGAGAGAGACGCTGCCGTTGAGGCTGGTGGAGTATTTAGAAAATATAAGGGTCTGGTTAACAAATCACCATTCCTTTTTAACCCTGTCTATGCTGTTTATTAAAACGTCTCTCTCACACAGGAAAAGAAAAATGTTTTCTAAATAGATTATTTAGAAATGGATGATCCCTTTTGTCACTGTAGCTGCTGAAGAGACACAGGCTAACAGAGGCCAAAGGAAGAAGACAGATGGAGAGACTTCTGGTTTGATTATTAGAAAGTTGTGCCCTTTGTTGATGACTTTTCCTTTCTACATCTCTCTCAGAAGACAGGATGAGGGAGGAAGATTCACCTAAGCTGATGTAAGGAAAAGTTGGCATGGAAAGGAAAGAAAGGCCAGTTTAGCTGAGCATGTACCTACCAGGTTTGTGCTTAGATACACTCACCCAGGGAGAGTGAAGGTATTTCTGTCAAACCCTACCGGTCTATATTCACCATAAAGAACTTGCTTGCTAAAAGCAGCAGTCCTGTCACCAGTGTCATGAGGATTTGAAAAGGCTCTGAAAGGCTGAGAGAGTTCTTCAGTCTTCAGTCTGGAAAAGAGAAGGCTCAGGGGTGACCTAATTGTGCCCTCACAGTTCCTGAAGGGAGCCTGCAGGAAAGATGGAGAAGGACTTTTCACAAGGACAAGCACAAGGACAAAGGAGAATGGCTTTGAGCTGAAGGAGGGAAGGTTTAGATTAGCTATTAGGAAGAAATTCTTCCCTGTGAGAGTGGGGAGGCCCTGGCACAGGTTGCCCAGAGAAGCTGTGGTTGCCCCTGGAAGTGTCCAAGGCCAGGCTGGGTGGGGCTTGGAGCAACCTGGGCTAGTGGCAGGTGTCCCTGCCCATGGCAGGGGGTGGAACGAGATGAGTTTTGGGGTCCCTTCCAACCCAAACCGTTCTGGGATTCTATGAATCTATGACTCTGATTTAAATGTCCTCAGACTAATAAATCTGGCAGACAGACAATGCAGAATCTAAATAAAACGGAGGAAATTTAACCAGCACAAGCTGTTGGGCAAATCTGTGCTCGAGGCACAGACATGCTGCAGCTACACGTCATGTCCCTGAAGTGACACAAAGTCTGAGGAGTTACTGCCAGTTGGTTGGGGTAAGTTCAGTTTTGGAATGCCAAGAACTGCTCAGTACTTCTATTCTTGAAGCCCTGAGTGGGTCCCCAGCCGTTGTGGAACACTTTGGAAACATTCAACCAAGTGTCTTTGTCCTCGAAGGCTTCCAATGTAAGACCATAAATAACAGCTAGATAGGAAAACAGAAGTGAAGAAACAGAAGAAACTCTGAATGACTAAACCATTACTCATTGAGAAATCTTATTCAAAGACCCAGCACTGAAATTAAACTGAGGATTTTAGAAAAGTTTTACAAATTTTTAATTATTTATTTCACAGAAAGGTTCTTGTCTCAAATCTGACCATTTGGCCTATCCTGCTTCCACAGTTTCTCACAGCATCAGTCCTGTGACCATTGGAATAGCTGCTTACATACAGTTTTAATGATAAGAAAGCTTTTTATTTCCTGTGTGAAAGATGCACAGCTTCCCACTTGCCTGTCTTTTCACATCTGCCTGAAAACAAAGCTAATTTTAATTTGTAGAAAATGCATAAAAAGCCTATTTTTGCAAAATCCCTCTGGGAATAGAAGAAATCCCAGCTCTCAGAGTCTAACAACTCCTGTAACTGCCAAAAGTAGGGGAAATATAAAAGGCACTAATTTAAGGACAAAGAAATATTAATGTGAAAAGTCAGTAGTTATGTAATTCCAGAAACACATCAGAAGTTTCCTTTTTGTCTGATTTATTAATATTTGGACCATTTCACTACAAACTTCTGGGAAAAGAGTTTTAATCCATTTTACAACTTTTAATTAGTTTGCCTTGATGTTTCTGACAACGGTGACTGGCAGACCAACCAAAAGTGTTCACTTTAAGAGTTTATTCACCATCACTGCTCAGAAAGTTCCCTTCTTCACAGAGGAGCAGGCAATAAACCTATTTTAATGTCCTCTAGTAAACTGCCATTTTCCAAGATTATCTGGGCTGTGATCCAAGAGTATCTTTCATTAGCTCAAATAACTAAATAATTATGACCAGGTTTGGCAGCTCTGAAACCCAACAACAACAGTGTGCAGCGCTGGTGCCTCTCTGTGTTCTTACTGTTGGGACAGTAGTTTGGTCCCACTCAGACTAATAAGCCTTTGTTCTTATGCAACAATTATTCCTCACTGACCCTTACAAGTCTGGAGCCTCTTTTATGTCCCAAAACTGACACACTTGTATCTCATCTGTTAGTCACCTCCTTCCCTCGCCTGTTCTGTCTGCTCTACTTGAGTTTGTGTTATTTGCTGGCTATTAAGCATTCCCCCATGTGATTTATTAATTAATCCTACTTTTTTTTTTTTTTTCTGTTGGCAGTCTCAGGTTTATGGGAAATATTACATGCTATGATTTTCTGGGCACATTCCTCAGCAGAGAGATTCTGGCATAGTTTCACTCAGCTGAATGGCAATGTGTTAATTTAAGGCACGATCCTACATGTAGATCCTCCATGCATTAATATATCCTAAGGATTTTATGAATAATTAATTAGTGAGTTGAACTGTTTTTCCCTAGAGGTGCTTGGGGCTTTTACATCTTTTCTTTTTGTACTCTTTTTAGGGTTCAAGTCATTAAATGTATTTTAAATAGTAAATTATACAATAGCTGCAATTTCATCATGAAAACACTGCACTGTGTGTCAAAATGGATATTCAGCAGTTTCACTGATAGGTATTATCAGTGGATGTTCAAAGTACATCAGGATCTCAGGTTAATAGAAATGGAAATTTTGTGTGTGGTCAGTAGAAGTTAATGTGATTTGGGTGGAGCTTTATAGCATAATGATGCCACATCAAAATGAAGGTAGGCATAAAGAGCTTAAAAACACTCCTGAGGACATCACAGACAATACATTTCTGTGGGCACGATACTGAGTTCATTGGATAAAAATAGTTCTGGCAGAAGATAAGTTGCATATGAAAAGACTGGGTTTGGCTACAAAGATTACTTAAAATTGGTATTGAGAAAATCATGTGGCTAAACGCAATGTAAAGAAACTGCTGAAGCAGGAACACGGGGCTCTCATGTCACATGTTACCATTATTCAAACCTTATCTCTATCGTTTTGTGGTCAGAGTGTATAATTTGCCATTTGGGTTTTGTGTACTCTGCTGTAATCATTAAATTCTGCAGGAAATTCCAAACTATTACTGGACTATTTTTTAGTATGTTCAACATATTGCAAACTATGGATTTTTAAATAAAAACAAAGTCACTGCAGAACACATGCATCTTTTTGCTTTGCCCCATCATCCTCTTCTGGACTGGGGGAGAAGAGGAATGCTTTCTATTAAACTTCATTAAATGTGTTATTTTATGAAGTATGGGCTTAGCCAACTGCTTTTACTGCCCCGTTGCTTTCATCACTGGAGAGTAAAACCAGCAGATGACACCAGGTCTAGACCCTTCCTCCATTTCTTCTGCTTCGGTGCATCTTCAAATTTATTTATTTCCCACTGACTGAAACACTCTCAATTTTTTCAACATATCACTTTAGAAAATCTCCTGCTCTGGAGTCCAAATGTCTTGTCCAACATAGTACAGCTTTTGTGATCTTTAGTATAAAATTAAAATAATGCAAAGGTTGCAAAGTCAGGAATCCAAAGGTGAATAAAAAGCAGAAGAAAGATGGCCATTTATATCCCAATCTACCTATTTATACTCTAAACCACATAATACTGTGGTTAATTATATAAGCACACAACATTTTTTTTTTTTTCAAAAGGACCCCTACTACAGCTACTATAAATCAGTGCAACTCCCTTGGTTTTTAAATTGATTTAGACCAGCTGGATTCTAAGAGCTTATCTATATGTCAATGTCTTCCTTTGCATCTCACCTTTCTTTTAGAAAATAGGGTTGTTCACATAGGCAATGCCTTCATATTTATTTCTGTGGGCACCAGGAGCATTGCTGACAATTTGTTTGGTTTAGATAGTCCTCTTCTTGGTATCACAATACTCCGTGGGGCATTTTGCCCAAAAATCACTAATTACACTTCACAAGACTCTTTTAACCTAATCTAACATGTGGAATGTGAGTCGTGGGGGCCACGCTTGCACACAGGGAGTAGCACTTTACTCAGGAAATGGGCTTAGTGATTCAAGATGAGTAAAGGTGGCAGAGGAGGCCTGTGAGCGAGCTGGATTTGCTCTGTGTCACAGGGCTCACCCCAGCACGGTGACAGAGCTCAGCAGGCCCTGCTCAGACATCAGACACACCGACACTGTTATCCTTGGGCAGCAGCCACACCACTCACGTCTTTAAACAATCCCTGGTTCACGTTACAGAACACAAAGGGGGTCATCTCGCAGGGAAACAATTCCCTGTGCCTGGCACACTCAGGCACAAGGCACAGCCAGCAGGTACAAAAACACAGAGGACTTACTATGCTGGGCATGGATTGGTGTTGCATAGTTTTGTTTCAGTCAAGGGCTTCATCCTTGGGCCGCAAAGGGAGGTGTTGACTCGTACACGATGATCTTCCAAACAAATTGCTTTTGCTGTAATGTGTCCTGGGGAAGCATTCGAAAAAAAATTACACTACAGTAAACATTTATTCAAAATGTAAGAGAAAAAGTAGTAGGCAACAATTTTAATTAAACAAGCCCAAGCTCATCCTTGGTACAATTCCACTGACTTCAACTAACTAAAATAGGTTTTTATCCAGCAACATGTTTTTAACATTGATTTCCTGCTTTGTACTATTGCAGTCAGATGAAAATTTGAGTTATAAGCAGCATATTTGCAGAATCTTCCCTCAGCAAAAGTTAGTGATTCTTCAGATCTTAATTCTCTGCAGACACTAGCAGGGCTTGTTTAGAGCCCTCCTCATGCACTTACAAACTGCAAATAGACATTCTGCACACGTTTTACAGTATATGTTTACAGACTCCAGAATTCTGCAGGTTCCTCTACCTACACTCAATCTAGTGTCAGCATCAGGACAGGTTACAGAGAAGACTGCAAATGCCTTAAGAGATGAAGTGATTTTCTAGATTTATCTTTTAACTGAGATCTATCATTCACCTCACACATGGTTCATTTGGCACAGTGAGTCGAATTTGGAAGCACAGTTGTTTCCATCATTTTTATATTCATGCTGCAACCTTTTAAAGGGAAGGAAGAAAATACAGCTGTCATATTTTAGGGCTGCAGTGCTCCTGGTGGCTCTTTCTTCCATGAACTGTTTACTGAGATGCTGTGAAGTCTGACAACACTCTGGCAAGATATTCCTGAGGTTCACCTGGATGGACTATTTTGCCAATACAGGAGCACAGCGTGGCACTTCCTTCATTACCCAGTCCTGTTCTCTGGTATTAAAGACTTCCCACATGCCAGTTTTCTGCTTTCATTACTTTCACTGACAGAACATCCAGGATTCAGAAAAAACAAATAGATGGTCTGTGCAAAGCAAGAGGAACATGGCAATAGGAACTCCTTAGCTTATATGGAATTTCAGACTTTGACCTGGCAGCATTAAAATATTGGTAATTAAACAGTGAGAAGATTTGGTGCAACTTTCAGTGAAGGTCTTGATAATATCTTAGTCTTTTGTTGCTCTCCACAGATAGAATAGATTTTCCTCATTTTACCTAATTTACCTCGATTCAGGATCTTTCAATGTTCCCCAACTGCAACTTCAAAGCACATATTTAATTCCCACATTACTTCAACATCAAGATTATCATATGGATATGGATTGACCTAAACAAAAAAGACTGAGTCATAGTGACATGAATTGAGCCTGGCATGGATTTTTTTTTTTCTTTACTATAAAGGAAGTACAAAGGTACTTCATCTGTGTTCTAAATTGTCAGGTAAAAAAATAAGGACCAGGTGTTCGCTGTAACCCCCTGTATGTATCAACACACATTTGCAAAATTAAAGGCAGCTGAAGAGTTTGAGATGCTTTAAAAAAAATTAAACAGAAGAGGCTTGGCAATTGGAAAGTTACCTACCACCACCACAGGTAGCTGAGCACTCAGACTGCACTGTCACCCAGGAGTAGCTGTGTTTTCTGACAGATGTCTTGTTTTCAATGTTGGTTTTGGAAAATGTATATTCCCAAGCAATCCCAGGATTTTTGCCTTGTAACAGGATCTACAGAGGGGTATTTAGGGGTTGTTAAAAAAAAAAAAAAGGGAGGGAGTAAAAACAGCATTCTGTCAGTCTGAAGGAAGATGAGCTAAACATGATACAAACACAGTATACATATACACACCATGCTTGTGAAAGGATTTTTAGGCTGGCCATCAAAGCAATAAACACCAAAGTGTTGCTTGGACTTACAGCTGTCTGTAAAGGAGTGCAGAAACACATGGTCCTCCTGTAAATCAGGGGGCACCTGACTGGGTTGGTGAAGCAGCAATGCCTTCAGCACACATGGAATATCACCCAAAGGCTCCTGGCACTGCACTATTTGTGCTGCCCCCGTGCAGCTCTCAGTGCTCTGCTCCTGGCCCTGACCCAGTTGGTCCCTGCACTCACTGGGAACCCACTGGCAGGGGCTGGAGTTTATCCACAGGAGATGGATTTGGGTTTTGGGGGTGGGAGACATTTCCTCTCTTTCACTAAGCAAAGTCCAGGCTGATCTTTCCACAATGACTTGTATGAAGGAAGAAGCTTTGCCCATTACGGAGGACTCAAAACACTTCACTACAAGAAGCAAAGCAGCAGGAAAGCTGTGTGGGGTTGGGAGCAGAGGTGGTTGGAGATGGCTTCCTCAGTTCTTGAGGCTGAGGGTATAAAACAGAAGTTTCTTTCTTGTAAAAAAACTCTCTTCTATGCAGAAAAATTTTTTATGCAGATAAATTTTGCTTGGAAGACCCTCAGCTGGTATTTTTCTCATGATGATTGAAGCTGATAAAGCTTCAGTCCAGGAGAGAACCTGTCCTTGAGTGTCTACGGAGAAAGGATTGGAAAAATCTTTCACTTCATGACTTCAGCATAATGTGTTAGGAAATTTTCAGAAAGTGTGATTACTGACTATAATAACAATCTTTGTCATTCAATTCAAGAGCCCAGCTCTCAAGGGTGTACTATTTTAGTGGTGAATTATATTGCAGTTTTCATGCAGGCAACTTTCTAAAATTCAGTTTTCATTTCAAGGCTGAATTATAATCAATGCAAGATGCACGAACATCTGACACACACCTAAATTTGGGGAGAAATTTCTACTTAATGACATTTATTTTAGAAACGTTTTGGCAGCAAAGTGCATTTATATTCATACTTAATAGAAACACTGCAAGAGTTTACAGTTACAGAGCTCTATGGATCTTGTCATACTAACATAAAGAGCAGGTGCAGTTAACCTCAGCTCCTAAATATGCTTTTTGATAAGCATTAGCATTTCAAGTATAATTCAAGTCTATGTTAATGATTGCCATTCAAAACATTAATAAAGTTAAGTTCACATGATGTCTGACCCGAGCACTTAAGCAATCCATATAAATAGAACTGATCTCTGTATAGACTGATTTCATAAAAAAGCAACTAACTCGCATTTATGTTGTTTGAGACACAGGAATATAATAACATTTTGAAACCTAGCCATGGGTTTTAAAGTATTCTGAAAATGTACCTATTGGAAACCAGAAATTGCCCATGACAGTGAAAATTCAGACCAAATTTACGTGACCTCCAGCTCAATAATGTTGAACACATGAAGGACCTGGACTGCATACTGTTTACTTCTGTAGAATAAAGAAAAATGGATGCTGTATTTTCCATTTTTAGTAGCCAAAGACTTGATTTCAGTCAGGGAACCTCAATAATGATCCAGACTGAGAATACAGCAATTAAGGCTTCAAAAGGCAAAATACTTCCAAAAGAATTGAAGAGTACGTGTCTCCTCAGGGCAGGATTCAGATTAGAAGCTCCTTCAAGCCCAAGTAAATGGAACTATTAGATGTGAATATTTTCATCTCACTCATCCAAGCTTAATTCATGAGCACCTTAGAATACCTGTGAGATTATGGAAGAAATAGATCTGAGAGTAGTTGCTGACCTCTTTATTTTTACTGAAAATTCTTGGTAGAAATGGTACGATGGGATCTGCTTTAGGGGTAAGTCACAGACACAGGTGTATCTCACAACTATTTTACAAGAACAGGATTAAAATTGAACACTCTGAAATTAGGAGAAGTTAGAATTGAGACTGCTGTGAAACTCCTCACTGCCCTGCAGGGATGCACCCCAAATCTCTGGATCTCCTGCTGGCTTCCCAGAAACCCTCTACCACGTTCAGTACTCCCAGCACATGGTACCCACTAATGAGCACATCACAGAGCTCCTATATCTGACTTTAGGCTCATTCCTCAATGTGTGGTTCTGTGTCCTTTTTGCTGTACTCTGTTCAAACCATTCCCAAGTGTAACTTTCTTCAGGACCTTTCTTTTCTCCTTGAATATTCATCACTATCTGATGTAAATGTTTTATAAGATTTAACAGCCCCTTAAGATGAGGGAAAACATCTCTTCTACCTAAAATTTTTATTTTTAGAAAGCTATCAGACTGCTGATAGCAGAAAGTCCAGCTCTGTTAAAACAGCTGTTCCACTTTGAATCTTGAACCCCAAGTCCATGGGCACTAGAGTTTCCAGGTAAAACAGGGTGCAATAACCTGTTCACTCTACTTTCTTCTCTCAAGGACAAATTGAGACAAATATCTAAAATGTAAAGTTTCAGAACATGTGCTTTAGGAAAAAAATGGGGGTTGTTAACTGTAGTAAGAATTGAGCCCTGGAAAACTATTCTTCAATTAAAACAATTCCTTCTTCTTACAGACCAGACCTCAAAATGTTTCAATTTGCTTTTACTCATCCAAAGGTCCTACGAGTCCAAGGTATTAGCACAGATCTCAGCATCTCAGGCAGCCAGAAACACTTTCTCCCATTTCAGTAGGTGCTCTGTGTTCCTTCAAGCCCAGAGACTGAAATTCTGTCTGGCCTTTTAATGCACAGTGTCAAAAGAGGAGGAGGTTTTGTCCACACCACAAAACCTCGTGTAAGGGTTAGTCCTCATCTCATTTCATTCTGACAACCGTCATAAAATTGTGCTGTGTCAGTGGCCAAAACCCCAGTAAAGTTTAAAACCTTTCTAATAAAAATATCTTGAAGCATTAGACTGAACATTTGTCTTCTGAAAGCACTCATTATTTTGTGACAGTAGAGGCAAGGAACAGAAAGAATGCATCCAGAACACAGAATTCAGAACAGGAGAAAGGGAGGATGAGAAGGTAAAAGCGGCAAAAGGTTTTACTCCTGTTAAAACTGTTTTCTCCTGATGCTTCACCTGAGTGTAGGGAATGAAGAGGAAATGATCTCGGACAAGTCAGAACAAGACACCTCAGTATCTATCACTTCAGAGAACAACCACACAGGGGTGTAAGGAACTCACAGCCTCCAGCTGGGTGAGTGCCTGGGGGGTGAACCCTGGCAAGTTGGACCATATGTATTTTAAGACCTTGGGCTACACCCCCTCCTTGCACATTGGGAAATAGCCACAATTATAACAGGCAGGTGAAGGGAACTTCCTCTCCATTTCCTGGCTGGCAGCCAAAGCTGGAGCCCCTTCCCACCCAGCAGACCGCAAGAGGGAACGTTTACCGAGCAAGAGCTGCACCACAGTCAGGTGTCTGTCCTCCTGTATCATCCCAGCTACGTAGAAAAAAGGTAAAATCAAACTATGGAATAGCACTGGAAACAAAATATTGCAGGGCACAAAACCATATGCTTTAAAGTCCCTGGCACTCAGCTGAAAAATAGTATATTATGTATAATGTTCAACCAGGTTTTCATCAGGAATGCAATACTATTGCAAAGTTGCAATTTTGCCAAAGTAACGAGCATATAAAAAGTTTTCTATCGTATTTTCAAACATTCATTATAAAGCCCTTTCTTAACAACCCAATAACTGAAGTCTGCATATTCAGCCAAGTTATCAGACCTACAAATTTGGAAAGACCTCCAGTGCTAGTCTACTTAACTGGACACATTCCAGCATCTTTTCAGCCAACTGGCATTTGCTCCCAAATTTACAGCTGGCAAACAACCTCCTTAAACATTTCCAGTTCCTCAATAGAACTGTTTAATGTCTACCTTTAACACACCAACCACCTGACTTCAGACACAACACTCAGCAGCTCTGACCGCAGGGCGCAGAGTTATAAAATTTACAGCTTCTTGAGTTGGAAAACCACAGGCTCTACGGCTGGAATCCGCCGGATCTATCCCCAAGAAAAAGAACTGTGGCTTTTGCTTAGGGCACAAAATGTTAAAACAATGGATAAATTGAACTCTCCTGAGTAAAGAACCTTTTCCTTTTGCTGCTAATTTTGATGTGAGAGCTAAACCAATAAATTCTCCAAACTAGCTGTGCATCTGCTCCTTTGTTTGAGATTTTATTTTTTTCCCATGGCCATCCTAAGTTTCCAGTATAATACCTCTATTTTGCAGGCAGATTTTTAAAGAGTCTACCAGTGTTGCTTTGTTATGATTGACTCAGTCCTTTTCAGGGTTTTTTACTGTAAGATGTGTATGTGAAGTTACTTGCAGCACGCTGAATTAAGACAGATTAATTTACGCAAGCTAAATTCCTCTTTCTTCCACAATATTTTGTCCAATGTACAGGAAAGCATACTAGTGCCTGGCTTGTAACAAGCCTAAAAAAGACTCATTAGGTCTGTGGAGGACTAACAGACATTTAGAAATCACTTATAGAGTGAAGATGAGCATAGAGAAAGGAGCCACATTCTGCATGTGCCCAATTTACAAAATGGGCATGAGCCCCAACTTTGAATCCCAGCATCCGTGGGAGCTTTTATCCGTGTCCTCAAATTGCAGCTACACTTCCTGGGTCAGTCCCATGCTTTGTAAGTCTTTGAAAATTTCTTTAGGGGGATGTAGCAAGTTAATCTGTCTGCATGAGGGCAGATGGAGAAGTTTGTGTGGAAGACAAGTGCCTGGTGTGCTCTGCTTGAGACCTGCAGCTTTCATCCCCTGTGGAAGTACACACTGTTCAATAAATATTGTAACATCCAACATCCTAAGCCAGATTCCGATTTCTCTGTTCAGTCAAGATTAATTCCATTGACTTCTCTTAATTTACTCCGGTTTCAGTAGGATAAATCTAAGCATGCAGCATATGGTGCTGGTGGAAAACTGCTTAAAACAAGTTTTAAAACAAGACCATTGTCTTGAATGGGCAGTTATTGGATGGGA